AATGTATTTATATCGGAATTCAATAATTTATGAATAGTACACTTTAATAAAAAGTAAATAATATTTTGTTATGTATTTATACCATTGGCACCCGATAAAATTAAAAAATATATTACATATGTTTTTCTATCCGTTAGTATTACTTGATAATTCTTTTATATAATTGTAGAGAATATAAACACGTCTTCCTGTATATAAGAATGTGTTCAGTAATATATATATTGTTATGTATATATATATATATTATTTTCATATATTTCATAATATATCGTTATTTTATTATATAATTAATTTAAATACAATTTGTCTTTTAAAAATGGCGGAAATAATAAAGCCCCATGCATCGCACGGGTACTGTACTAGTTCACTTTAAAAAAATTTAGAACAAAAAGTATAGTTATGCATTTCACATTTTTATTTGAGTGTAATGGTTAATGAGTGGAGTTGGGAGTTACATATCGTTTTCTTCATTTGAGTAGTTGCAGGATGTATACAAATTAATTAATTGTCTATTTAGGACGTGAAAATTGTTTATTTAGTAATGTTTTAAATTCGTTTTTTAAATATATTTTCTTGTAAACATCAAAAAGTTCTATAATTATATGTAGTAAATAGTCATGATGAGTATAATATTATTAAAACTTTAGATAAATTGTTGGCATTAATTAATGGTATGAAATTAAATATTAAATTCAACAATGATCGATAATTCGGTGATCTAAACGCGAGCTGAAGTTCGATTATTGGGCCGAGTTTGTAAATATTATATACGAGTACAAAACCCATGTATTACATGGGTGGGGACAGTGCCTCATTCCGGACCGTTCATGGACGGATTCATAAAAATGGGATAGGTATCCGGACAAGTCAAATCTAGGACCGTCTCGGACCGAGCCCACCCCTACCATATATAATCAACATATTTATAGATCATCCGAACCTAAATATTTTTGGATTAGAAGTAAATTAAATCTACCTAAACCTAATAACGAAGCATGTAATTTTGCCACATATGATCTCGAAACATACAAGACTGCCACAAAAGCTTTCTAAATTAATATATAGGGGGATTTACTGATTTGTTTGCTGGTATGTCGATGTCCGTTGCGAGTTGCGATATCGTCCGAGGCCCAGCTAGTTGGCTATTACACATTCTTAGTATTTTACAATTGTTGACTTTGACTTATTTTTATTTGGGTTGAATTTTTCCAGATCATTAATGCATACATACTAAGAAAATATTTCAACCTTTGCGTATAAAAATTAAGGGTGTGATTGTTTATGAAATAATTTGTTCAAAATGAATTATTTTAATTAATTTTTAGTTAATTTTAAAAAAGGTGGTATAGTTAGTTGTTAGTGGAATTTTAAGAATGTATTATAATTATATTTAAAATAAATTGATTAAAATTGATTTGATGTAAAAGTAGGAGATAAATGATTGGTAGTTAAAATTATGTGAGTGGATGAATAGTGAATTGAAGGTGATGTGATGTGTAAGAATGAATTGGTTTGTATTATTTAATTATATGAATAATATTAAAGATAGTGGATTGAGTTAAAGTTGAGTTAGATTTTGAGTATGAAATAAATGAGAATGAAATAATTCATAAACAATCAAACCCTAAATTATTTAATATCTTCTGATTAAAATTTAATAAAAATGTGAATTATTAATCTATGAAAGAAGTTTTTGAACATTTAGATGAGTACTTCTATTCTAACTGATTATATTTTATATTTTTACTTTTTAAGCATAACTTTTTTAATTAACACCAGTGATTATACGTGTGCTGTAACACCAGTAGTTAGAACTTAGAAGTTAAATTAAGATGTATCTTATATTATATCTAACTAGATATTGTTAAGCTTGATTTTGGTTTCATTAATTAATTGCACTCTAATAGACGAGTTAAAACAAATTTCTTTAGATCAAAATTGAACAATTTTCACGTCCTAAACCAGCGCTCCCACAGCCAGAACCATGGAGGAGGAGCGGAGGCTCAAACCGGAGAAGATAGACGAAGAACGAGGGGATTGAAAAGGCGATTTGGGCATTTTTCTTTTCGGCAGAGGAAAGGAAAGTTGTTGATTTTCTTATTTTATGTTCATTGTTTGACACCAATTTAAAATTGATGCAAGATATATTATTTTAAGATTGAAAAACTTTAATGATTTTAATTTACATTATTTAAGAAATTATTACTAATTCATTTTTCAAAATTTATAAGCATCATTATAGAATTTTAATTGATAATTATATAACTACATAAATTATTCATAACTGATTTTTTTTCTCTTTTTTATTAATATTTCATTACCATGATTTTGTTTGCATTCTTAATTTCATATGGTCTAAAAGGACACATGTTGTTAGTTATTTATGTACGTAATTAATCGTATGAATCTCCCCAAACCATATATCTTTGTAGTACTAGTGCTTCCCTATTAATTATTTTCTTCCTTTTCATCATTAATTATTCTTTCTATATTATGTAATTGAGCTTTTCTCTCTTCACAATGTAACATTTTTTATTCCATATAACAAAAAACCAATATAAAATGAAAAAATTGAGTCTAAAACGTATTTATTTATGAACGGAGGTAGTATAATGTGTGATGTAGTTTGGGAAGTTAGTTACTATAATTGTGCTTAAATCAGTGCCTTCAAATTATACAAAAAAGTCTTTATCTATCACAAAATATGAAGGCTATTACAATTTTTCCAAATTATTGCAAAAATACAAAATTCAAAATAAAAAATCACATAAATTATTTATAAACGAGACATAAACCAAAATATAATGCGGTTTAAAAAAAGTTACAAAAAGAAACTAAAAATCAATCCTATATAGACTATAGAAGTTGGTATGTTTATAAATAAAATAAAAAATTTATAAACATAACAGTAAAATGAGTTAAGAAAGTAAGTAGTGAAATTTTCTCAAATTTGAAAGTATCATTGACTGTTCGAAACTTTGATTATTTGCTGGGCTGACCAAATGACTCTTCTAACAAATGTAGCGAACAGGGCCCAAGAGTGTTAAATTTGGGCCATGCCGCCGCCCATTATTCAAACAACCATATTATTAGAGGAATTAAAGACACTCTTCATCTCTTTCAAAATATTAATTACGTTTTTGCTACAAAGGACATTCACAATATAGTTCAAGAAAATACAGTTTAATCCATCATAAAAATTAGGGAATTTTAACCTTGACAAATATAGTTCTCTNATTTAGGTGATCCAAGCGCTTGTATATTTTTTATGTTCTTATATATTTTATTATACAATAAAACTAGATCTTGAATATGGAATATATAAAAAGAACTAACAAGCAACTAAAATTAGTGCAATAGCTATGAATATATTATATTTTAGGAAATTTTTGTATTTAATCATATTAATTGTATGTTTATATAATATATCTTATAAATTTGCTATACGTAATTTTATTACTCTTTTTACGTATCTACTTAGGCCCCGTTTAATCCTCTTCCTGGCGCTCTTAGGCCAATTCACCGCCTGGAAACTTTGAAAACCTTGTAGAATATTGTGGAATTGATTTTCTAAAGAAAATTAAGAAATTAATGGTGGTTAAATATGAATACGACATATGTAATAGTTATGGTTGTATTTGCGTGAGTAATAATAAATTGATCTACAATTTATAATCAGCAGTATGTGAGTATTAAAGGTAAAAAAAAATAAAAAAAATGTATATTATTGATAAGTGATTGAGCAATATGTTAATACGGAACAGTTTATAAGCCTGAGAGATAATGTGAGATATCTTTCATTTTTCTAGGTTGTGTGTTAAATTTTGAAGCTTTGTAATCATAAGTATCAATATTTAGAATTTTATATATGCCTATTAGAACTTTTAGTGTTATAGAACACTTTACCAATTTAAATTAAAAATGTATTTTAAAAGTTAAGAATCTTTATATTTATTATTGATTTTCATGTATAATATATCAAGTTAATCATCTTTACATGAGCTCCGATTCGACATTCGTATTGTATATATAAAATAAAAAAGTGATTTATCTTTGTAATGAACTATAAATTATTTATTAATACAATAAATTTATCCATAAAATCAATATGTAATATAAATTAGAAATATTACTATAATATGCTACGTGTAAGTCATAAAAGAATGTTGTTTTAATGTAATATGATACAACTTTTTAAAAAGAGTATTTAAAATCTAAAACCTTAATTCTCTCAATCTTTTTGTTTTTTGTCATAAATTCAATATAAATTTCCTAACCAAAAGACAATAAAATATTGCTTACTGCGCACCGTCTACACGCGCGCGCGTGGTATAATTAACTCTAAATAGTGCATTGGGCCGGAAAATTTGAACTATCAGCAATTAGTATGATTAGTGGAAGGCGGCTACGGATGTTGGGCTGGCCCATTTGATGTGCCAATCAATCTAAAATATATCCACCACAAGTGGTTTACGCTCAATCAAACACGTTTATATTCCAAACCACACAAAATGAACTGAATTCTCACATCCACTTTGTACAAAACCTCGACTTCCAAATTCCATTTACCTATAAAGTACTGGGAGATTTTCAATTAAAAAAAAAAAGAAAAAACAATGATATGACTGCATATAGTAAAAGTAGTATGATAATATTGATGAGGTTCTATTTCTCGAAAAGAATGACCAGCACACACTTGAGAATCATTTGTGATACAAATAGTAAACAAATCTACATATAACAACTCAGATTATAATACAAAGATGACCTCAAGACCTAAAACTCAAATTACAAGTCCAGCCCCATCGTATGGTGTAATTCCAAAACAGTTGATCTAGTTTGAAATAAAACTAAGATTACACAATAATAAACTTTTTTTTTTCCATCTTACATAAATAATTACACTTCACGATAAAAACATGAGTATACTATGCACTAAACCCGCCAATTCGGCAGATGCGAGCCCCGATCACACATATCCAATCACAATCTGCCACGCGTCACACCACGTCATTGAGTAAGTCATCAAATTCGAACTCGCCGAACTGAAACTTATCGTACCAGCAGCTCGTTGACAGCCCAATGAGCGGCCACTCAGCGTCGAACCCGAACCCGTTGGCCAATCCGAGCTCAATCCCCTCGACGGGCGGAAAATCCTCCCACCGGAGTACCGACTCCGGCGACGCGGCAGCGTCCTCCGCCTCCGTCGTGGAGGATCCCGAGGTAGCGGCGATCGGGAAGTTCGTGGCGGCGGCGGGTCCCTTGATTCTGACGGCGGCGCCGTCGTAGGCCGCGGCGGCCTCCTCGGGGGTGTCGTAGGTGCCGAGCCAGACCCGCTTCCGGCGGGCCGGGTCGCGGATCTCGGCCGCCCACCTCCCCCAGGGTCGGCGGCGCACGCCCCTGAACCCCGACCGTCGGACGGCGGGGGATGGCTGCACCCTCGCCCTCTTCCGCGCCGTGCGTTCCGCTCGGCCGGCGGTCGCGGCGAATTGGATCTCCTCGACGTGCCTCCTCACCCTGAAGAAGCCCGAACCGCCCTCGTCGCCGGAGGAGTCGGTGGCGTCGGCGTCGGTCAGTACGAGCCTGACGACCCTCCGCCGCGCGGAGCCAGTGGCGGGGGGTCTCCGAGGGGCGACGAGCTTGGTGGTGGTGACGACGCGGTCGGAGAATCTGACCGGCGGCCGCGGCTGCTGCTCCATGATTGTGTGAAAGGGGAACAAAAAATTAGATATTTTTATTTTTAAATTGGATCGATGTGGGATTGTCTTGGAGAAGACTCGTGTTTTTTCAGTTTGATTAATTGATAACAATTCGGTTTGTGTGCGCAAATATATATATACAGAGACATACTGGGGCCCACACTATGTGGTGTTTATGTTGGGGAGAGGTTAAAGGAAGAAGTTACTCAGCAGCGCGGGAGAGGTTTCCGTGCTTTTCCTTTTTTTGGCGGGAAAAATGTGGGCCCCACTCCTCCACTCACGTCACGTAGCTGCATTTTATTAATTTTAAGTAAATGTATATTAGAAAAGTAGATAACTTAAAATCATGTTGTGGGAACAACTTATTCAAGATTTTTTTTTTTAGGTTTATGAAGTGAGTTGAATCGAGCAAAGCTTTCACGAGTGTAAAAGAGACGAGCCACACACATGTGGGCTTATTACACGACCACGATCATATTACTTGGCATGTTAGTGCTATTTGAAAGTGCAATTATCCTCTATATTCAAGTTTATCGAAATTCGAAAGCTTAAATTATTTAAACCTTACTATATCTTTGAGAATAAATCTGTCACCAAATTACTAGTTTAATTTTGAAAGAGCAATTATCCCCTCCGCTTTTCTTCTTCCACATTCTCATAATCTAACCATATCACGGGACCATCGTGCTCTCATTTTTATTTTATAGACGAGCATATGCCAATAATTCATTTCATCTTTTCATATATATAATTTATCTCTTCCTTTTGGGGAAAGTATAAATGAGCGAATGAAAGGTCCAGCAGCTAGGTCCCAAATGCCTAAGATTAAATCTGCAAAATATTGTGTTTGAATATTTCAAGTGGATTTATTTAACATTAATCATTTCATCATCAAGTGATTTCTAAATTTCACCTAATTTCATATAAAAATATGTGGATCGCTTATTTTTATTCACTCAGAAGCCACATAAAAATATATAAGTTTGATTTTTCAATGAAAGCTTTGTTCGAGTGGAAGACTACAAGAGCTAATGAGTGCGCAAAGCTTCAGAGATATTTTACCCTCAAAATCCTGATACCCTGAGGACCAATTAACCGAATTGGAACTCCAAAAAGATATTGGTCAAAATTTACATGACAATATCAAATTGAAATCTAAAAAGATTATTGAATAAAATTACAACTGACTACTAATTATTAATAGAAATGGCAATTAATTATTATTTCAATTAAAAAGAGTTTATATGGCAATAACTAGAATATGTGAGAAATTCGTTGGACAATTTACTGAACCAATAACCTAGTGACAGTCCACGACACAAAGGGATGCCTTCGAGGTTTCAATGGACTAAAATCTTTCTTTTCATTTCCGATTACTCGATAATTGCCACAAACATAAAATCCACTTTTGATAGGCCCCGAAATTATTTCACAAAATAATTCATCTTTTTAATTATTCAAGCACTGTGTAGCAACAACTCATGTATGTCGTACGATTGGCTGCCCCTATGAAGTTAAAGTAGAAATATAGACTCAATAAGGTATTGACAGGTGTCGAGTGAAATAAGAGATAACAATACACTCCTACAATAAATAGAAAGTCGTGTGTACAGTACAAACACATTGAATTTAGCCCAGCCCACCAAAACCACAACATAGAAATTTCCCCTTTCATTTATTCGTTATTCCTGCATTGGTGTTAGTTATTCCAACACGAGAAAAAATCTGGCTAAACTGTCACAACCCACGTCCAAGCGATTGGTATAAAATCGTGAAGCTCATTCATTGATAAAATCATTTTTTCATATGTATCGTTTTAAAGATTGTCACGACTTTAGAACCATTAAGTTCAACTGGTATACAACTTAGTTGTAATAACTATAAATAAGTTTCACTTATGTAGTTATGTGCCTTTTGTTTCAAATAACCAAGACAATTTTACTTTGCATACTGATCTTATGTGACGAGCTATTATTATATAAAAAAAGACAAAGATGTACCCATTCAAGATGATAAACACACGACAATTGTTGATCATAAAAAGGAAACCGACACATGTTATATTAAAAGACAACATGTGATAAACAAAAGAAAACTTGCAGCAGCCAAAGTCACAATCAAGGTTTCGAAAATGAACAATAATGGGCTCATTCATGATGTATATAACTTCAAGAAGCAGCAAAGAAAGGTCCATCGGGTTGAAAGATAATTCACCAATTGCTTATCAACAAAGTGATCCAAACAGTCCAGATGGGATTTTTATATTGGACTTTTATAATACATTTGAATTGATTATTTGTTGTCAAATTGGCATATATGTCACTCCACTTGCTGTTTTCATGAATACGAACATCTTTTTAGATGGCGACAACAGTTGTACTGATAAGGGACAGAACACCAAATTTGTCGTGACATAACGACCTAATTAATGGACCTAATTAGTACAAATTACAACGAAGATTAAATATTCACAAATTAAGATTATTTTAATTAAATATTTCCTTATGAAAAACAATCATAAACCCATCTTTGGAAGTGAAGACTGCAACTGCTGCAATAAAGTAACAAGTACAAAAGTTGCAAGGAATTACAAATGTGGCCAAGAACAGAGAAATATCCCTTGTTAGCAAAATCATCAATGCTAGGCCTAGCAAACAATTACATGACACTAAAACTGGAAATTCTTACTCTTTAAAAATATAACAATGGATGATAATTCAGAAATCTACCTGATAAATGATAGGAACCAAAAAAGAGGACAATAGTCATAAACTCGTAACCGAAAAAGGTACTAAACCGTCACATTTTTAAGATTTCTAAAAAATGTATCCAATATATGAAGCTGATTTCTCCTCGGATGCAAAAAAGTTTGCGACTGTGACTCATACCCAACACATTAACAAAAAACAAATGATAGGAACCCCATTACCAGTCTCCAAATTATGCATATTCAGAAAAGTGGCAGATTTAACATTTCAAGTACATTCACAGCTTAAACTGCCACGAATCAACAACTATAAGCAGAATAGCAGATTAGCATAGAAATAATAATTATTTTTCCGACCAAGCACAAATGAAAACACGCAGAAGTCCGTGCAGTTTTTTTCCAGTGGCCAGGTGATGTCAAAGTTCAAACGTCATCCCATGGAATACTTCTGAGTCCAACTGCGGGCAGTAGCCTCGTATTTGGCCCTGTCGGTTTTGTACATATGGGCGATTTCTGGCACCAGTGGATCATCAGGATTAGGGTCCGTCAGCAACGAGCAGATAGAAAGCAGCACCTGATTTTAATGATTTTAGTAAGTACAAAAACATTGTGATGAGAGACAAACAAAATAAATACCCTGACAAACACATTTTTATGTTTCAGTGGGCTACGATAAGGTCATTGATTAATTTCATGAAAGATACTTCAGATAATTTCTAATCACAGTTGTCAACATATGATAAAAAGCCTCGCAATGGCTCACTACACAACGCCCAAGAATAGTTTAGAAAACATTAGAGATCATGGAGAAATGAATTAAATGGTACAGAATAACAGGGATCATAAGATCGTTCAGTTTCACTAATTGGCAATATCAACAATTGGCTAAGCTAAACTTTCCATATGAACACTGAAGAGTAGTCTCTTTATTACAGACTTGAAAGTGAAGTGCTGACACAAACGAAAAGGACTAGATATAACCTTAGATATAGTAAGGGCTGGACTCCATTGCTCTTTCAGAATATCAAGGCAGATACTTCCGTTGCTATTGATGTTAGGGTGGAATACCTTCGTCCTAAAAGCAAGCTGTAACAATGTAAGAGTTAATTTAGACAGAGTTCAGGCCAGTACTAACAAAAATTCTATGACAAACAACTAAAATTCATCTAACTACGGGAATGAGGCAACTTCACATGAATGAAATATGATAACCATATTACAAAACTACATGGTAGTCAAACTCGACGTTCACCTTTGGTTTCAAAACACTAAGCTATTATCAATGTGCCTCAGGAAAGAAAAGAAAAACTTTTAGCAGAATTGTACAGCAAAATGCCTTTCTTCCACAATTCCCACACCTAGATGGCAATTCATTACGCTAGTAACAATCAAACATGGAAAAGAAACAGTTTAAATACCCCTAAATATCAACCATCTAAAAGATAAAATAGCCATCATTTTACAGTTGCTTTTTCTTGCCGACTGCAACAGATACCCTACCAGATGTCCAATTCATAATACAAGTTAGAATAGTATGTTTGAGCCCTTAGACAATAACATGCCAAACTATATGACTTCTACAATCAACATCATCATAGCAGCACGATTGACCATTCGTGGGAAAAAGGAACAATAATAAAAGCACAAAATACACATCTAAATAGTGTAATTGACCATACCTTCGGTGGCTTAAAAGGATAATCGGGAGGGAAATGAATGGAAACCAAAAATACACCTCCAGCGTAAGGGCTGTCAGCAGGCCCCATAATTGTGGCTTGCCAATGGAACATATCTTCGGCCACAGGACCTGAATTTGTTAGATAATAGAGGTTAAACATAGGACACCAAAGATTTCGAAAATATTGTAATCTTGAAAGTTAATTATACTTTTGCTTATCTTTTAGCTAGTCAAAATCTGGTAGGTAACTTTTGTAAGTAACTTTTACTCAAAAGTTAAATGCTTGATATTGCATATCTACAGCACAAGTGTACAACTACCCAGGGTCGCAAGCAATCGGAACACAAACCTAATTCATAGACCACCATAGCCAAAAAGAGAATCAACTCTCAAACTCAATACATAGCAATATTTATCTTCAAAAACATATAGAAAACCACCGCAACAATTACAATCTTCCCAAATAAACCAACTAGCTAACACATCACAGTTAACCTAGCTGCGAAACAAAATAAACGAAACTGCTCTAACTACAGCTAAACAAGCACAAATATAAACAAACTCATAGCCCATGGTCCATATCGGACAAGAAGAATCCACGGAATACGAGCAAAC